TGACCCCACTGAGGCCGGGCTCGGCCCCTGGCGTCGGGCAGCGGTGCGCGAGGAACGCCGCCCCTCAGGCGCGGAGGGGCCGAGGCTCGGAGATGCCGCCCGGCAAAGTCTTGCAGCCGGTCCTGAAGATGAAGGTGGACGAGCTGTTCCTGTGCTGGCTCAGCGAGTCCAGCACGCAGAGGATGCTCCAGGACTGCTTGCAGAGGATCAAGACGCCCGGGCGGACCGAGATGGGCGCTGGGGACGCGGGGCAGCCCGGGCCCCTGTCAGCGGCCGCAGCCCCCGCCTGCAAACCCAGTGCGCTGGATAGCCAGGGGGCGCCCAGCCCGGCCCCCGCGTCCGCCGCGCTGCCCCTGGGGGCCGCCTCCAGTCCCAGGAGTGGGCCACACGTCCGAGGGCCTCGTAGATCCGCAGGGACCAGAGTAGTAAGTTAGTCTTACTTCGCTAACATCTGCAAAGGTAATTCAGGTTGTATATCGACGTGTGGCTCGGTGGTGGAGGAGGCTGGCGGAAATGTCAGACCTGAAAACGCTTTCACAGTTAGTCTGCTCTCTCCCCAGGAAAGTCCTATGTACTGAAAAATTTATCATTGATGGAGTCCCAAGTTGCTTGTAATTTTGGAGTTCGTTTCGAGTTTTCTAGTTTTTAGTTGGCCACTTCTCAGCAGTTTCTTCCACTTGGCTTAACGACGGAACCTGGAGGTCTTAGCTCTAATCTGTCTGCAGGAATTAGAGCTGGACAAGAGTGTTTTAAGGAAAAAGTGGTTTCCGCCATTTAATACAGTGTCTGTTTAAAGTAATAAATGGGTGCCTGCAGCTGCTATAGAAAAACGTATGGTCGCTGCATATCGTGTATCCAGAATACTTTGTCGGAACGTCTTTATAACGTTTGAAATGTTTCGGCGGGAGCCAGTACACCCTGGCAGCTCTGAGCCTGCCACGAAGCAGCGCTCCTAGTGTCACTTAGTCTGGCTCCCAGCCAAAATGGACCGGGCCGTGAGGGCAGAGTGAGAGTGGACAGCAGTCCAAAGACAAGTCTTTGGGCTCGGGTTACTGGTCATTTCCTCACACGTCCTAATGGATCTAGGGCATTTTCCATAAAGTAAGTCTCCAAGGAGAATGGGAAGTAGACGTGGAGGCAGCTTGAAAGACCACCCGGCTTAGACCGTCCAGATAAGCCCGGGGAGAGGCTTGCCTGGACCCCAGGGAGGCCCGTTCTGGCCCCTTTCCCTGAGCTGCGGCCCAGGCTGTTTCTCAGGACGTGCAGGACCCTGGTGCTTCGGGGCTGTCACTTGAGCCCCCTGCAGTGTCGAGGCAGTGGGATATGTGAGCAGACTCAGGGCTCAGAAGCCTCCTCTGCTAGTGACAGTTTTCCCGCCCCCAGATGGCACCCTCACTCACTGGGATTCCTCCGGTCTTATTTACTGAGCTGCCCGCTGGTCATTAACTGTGTTTCAGTGACAAAGCCCAGCTCCACTCGAAGGTAAACTGTGTTTCGTGACCCGTGACTGTGCACGCTCTTAGGACGGGGGTGTTTACGGGAGGCCAGCGCTCTGCCAGGAGGGAGGCTGGGACGCCTGTGACAAGGCCTCGGGCCGACCGCGGAGGTCCTGCTGCTTCTGTCCGGACCTCGGCCGTAGAACGCGTCCTGATCCTGCTGTTGGGGGGTGTGGGGGGCTCACCTTCCATTTGTAGAGCAGCGACGCCCGTGAAGCTCGGGAAGGCTCCGGGGCGTGCCGAACGCGTATGCCGAGCAGGCGCGAGCAGGCGAATCGAGTTCCCTAGGTGTTCAAAGCGGGGCGGGGTCTTCTGGCTGGAGAGCCCGCGCAGGAGGCGGGCTGTGCCACGGGTGCCTGCCCTGCACGTAGCGGGCAGGTGGGAGGGGCTGTTGCGAGCCTGACGACCGGGCGTTATGCCGAGACCGGTCTGACCGCGGGCAGGCCGACGAGCCCGACCAGCCCTGTCGGCAGGATGGCCCGGGGTGCGGACCTCCGGTCAGGGGGCTGCACTCGATTCCATGGCCGGTGACGGGACGGGAGTGACGCTTCAGTCGGGTTCATGCAGTCGCCGTCACCGTGTGGAGCCGCCGAGGCGGACTGGCTTATGCCCAGACCGGGGCGCCCGGACCGGGGCGAGCAATGGAGGGACCCGAAAGGTGTGGCTGGAAGAGGAGTCGTGATGGGCAGGATGCAGGGACAGACCCCTCCTCTGCTCTGCAGTGTCCACGATGAGGCAGGAAGTCCTCACGAGGGACCGCTTTTGAGGGCAAGGATGATTTTTCTCTTAAACATCCCAAGAGCTTTGAATAAGTGACGATCGATCCTGTCTGGGCCTGACGTTGGCGGTAAACGTGTCCTCGTGCGTTCAGGATTCACGGGCAGCTGCCGCTGAGTTGTGAGGCGTGTATAAGCCAGCCGGTCCCATCCCTTCACTGAGACGGATGGTAGGGTCTCGTCCCTGCCCTCCCCAGGAACGCGGTGCCGGCAGTGTCCACAGGCCAGTTCCAAACTGCAGTCTGGCTCTGGCAGGGGAGGACGACGCTCGGGCGGGGACAGATCTTCCGAGGTAGGAAGCTTTGACCCGGCGCCTGTGCGCCGTGAGCTTTGCTGTGAGGACTCTGAGCCCTGGGAAGAGCAGCTGGGGGTCTGATGCTCCTGCTGCACCTCCAGGCACAGAGCCCAGCCGGGGTCTGCCTGGCGGCGGGCCCAACAGCTGTCACCTGCCTCCCCTGTGCAGCCGTGAGGACCGTGGCGAGCTGGGAAGTGTGGACAGGCTGCTCCTCCCTTCCGCATCTTGTCCCACAAGCGCCTTCACGCGTTTCCAGCCGAAAGGACTTGCGCATTCTGCGGGGAGAAGCGAACGCAGGCCACCCGGCCCCCGGAGAAGGCGACCGCCTTCACGGCCAGGTCCGCAGTGCCGGCGCCTCACCCCTCGGCCCTCACCCCGTCCCGCCCACGCCGCCCCTCTGCCTTCCTCGCTCCCCGCCCCGCGGGCCTCGTCTTGGAGGGTCCTTCTTCCCTGGCCACCCCGGCCGCTCCCTCACCCTCTGCAGGCCTCTCTTCGGGGTCATCCTCTCACTGAGACCTTTGTGCTACGTACTTGTGATCCCTGGGGCCACCGTGACAAAGTACCACAGACCTCGGCTTAACAGCACAGGAGTCTGAGGACAGGCCGTCGGTGGGGCCGGGTCCTCTGGGGCTCCAGGGACGGTGTCTGCAGGTCTCTGCAGCTTCCCGGGGCTCCAGGCCTTGCCGGGCCTGGGCTGGCAGCCGCGTCCCTCCCATGTCCGCCTCCGTCTCCAGCGGCTTCGCCTCTGTGTCTGTCCTCGTCTGTCTCCTATAAGGACAGTCATCTGCTCCAGGGTGGCGTCATCTCCGATCGTCACTAATCACATCTGCAGAGACCCCGTTTCCAGATGAGGCCCGTCCTGAGGTTCGGGCGGACGTGCGGCAGTACGGGGGACCCTGTTTCACCCCCTGCACTGCTCTGCCCGTCTCATCCCACTGCCACCCTCTGATGTGTGGCGTGTGTTCTGCGGGGTGGTTTTCTGACCCGGTCTCCACGCCTGGACGTGAGCTCCGTGAGGGTGGCTGCCTGCCGCACGCCTGTTCCTGCACACAGGACCGCCACGCAGATGCTGCCTGTCGAGTGACTGCCCGTGAAGCTGACCGCAGCAGGCCCAGCAGGCGCCCGTAGCACCTCCGAAGGTGGAAGTGCTATGTCCGCCTCCGTCTCCAGTGGCTTCGCCTCTGTGTTTGTCCTCGTCTGTCTAGCGATCCCAACGGCCATTGACGTTTGGCTCACAGACTGGCACATCCGCACCATGGACTCCCACTCATGAACTCCCGCGATGGCCGTTGGGGTCGCGATCGTTAGTGACGATCGGAGATGACGCCACCCTGGAGCAGATGACTGTCCTTATAGGAGACGGAGACGGCGGAGACGGGACCATGTTTTCAGTTGTTGATTTTAAAAGCCAGCTTTGGTCTACAGCCCGCCACCCTGAACACTCCCGATCCCATCTGATCTTGGAAGCTAAACAGGGTCGGGCCTGGTTACTACTTGGATGGGAGACCGCCTAGGTAGACTGGGTGCTGTAGGCATAAAAAATAAAAAAGTAAGGGATTGCAAAATCCTTGCAGTCTGTGAGGTCAACCAAGGGTTGCCTCGCCTAAAATAAATAACTACACAAATAAGTCAGCTTTGGTGAGGGGTAGCTTGCACACGGTGGGCAGAGCATTGTGTGGGGGGCCACGCGTGGCCTTGAACCTATGAACAGTGAGAGTGCGGAACACTGTCCTCCCCCAGTGTCCCCTCCCCTGGGCCCCAGGCAGCCATGAGTCTCGTTTTGGTCACCTTCCAGAGGCTCATGTCCTGCGGTGTCTAACTAAGCAAAGTGTTGTGAGGTTCTGCCCGGAGGTGTATGACGTGTGTTCAGTGACGTGTCACTGCTGAGTGGGAGTCCATGGTGCGGATGTGCCAGTCTGTGAGCCAAACGTCGATGGCCGTTGGGGTCGCGTCTGCTCTTTGTCGCTGTGAGTAAAGCTGCCGAGAACACCACTAGGTAGGTCTGTGTGAGGACAGAGGTCTCGTTTGTCTTGGACGGAAGGCCACAAGGGGTGGCACTGCGGAGCTGTGCGAGTGTCTGAGTGAAGAAACTTGGACGCTGAACCCTTTAGAGCCGCACGGTGGTCCCGGGGGTGGTCTGTTTCCCTCCGCACCAGCCGTGGCCATTGTCGAACACGCCTCGGCCGCATACGCGTCATCCGTGCCCTGACGTCCCCGCTGAGCTGCAGGTTTACCCTCTCAGCCGCCTGGCGCGTCCTGCATTCAGGTGTCTCGTGGCGCGTGCTACAGGCTGGGACCGGAGCGCCGGCTTCGCTAACGTGGCCTCTGACGTTCGCGTGTCCACGTGTTTAGCGCTGTTTCTCTCAGCGACGTGGTGGTGTTTTCAGTACACAGGTGTTGCACCTCCCTGCTGCCGCTTGTTACCCATTGACTTGGATGTTTCGTTCCTTGCAGTCTTGGAGCTCAGTTAACCCCGATTTCATCCAAACGCGGCACCGCATTCTAGAGTGTTGGGCTACTTGGAGACCCACAGACCCACCCACACACGTGTGCGTGTGTACGCACAGACACGCATTTAGCGTGGTTAGATGTCCATGAGCTGTGTGGAGACACAGACCTGGACACCGTCAGGGCAGGCGTGTGGGGACTCGGAGAGGTTTCTGAACGAGAACCAGGCCTCTGCGCTTCCCGGAGACTTTACATCAGGTGTGACCTTGGCCTTTCGGCGGTGGTCACTGCGTGTTTTCACGTCAGCACTGACGAGAACAACCATCCAAGAATTTGCAGCCGCAGAAACTGTTCCGAGTGTAACCGCCCTCCCTGCTCTGTGAATGACACGTGGGATGAGGTTGCCCGTG